CAGGCGGCCCCTCTCCGGCCCGGCTCCCTCCTCGCGGCGGCGGCGGCGGCGGCGGCGGCGGCGGCGGCGGCGGCGGCGGCGGCGGCGGCGGCGGGTCCCGGCCTCGGCTCTGCGCGCCCGCGCTCCCGGCGCCCGCAGCCAACAAGTTCGGGACGAGACTGACAGCTCGCTCGCCCATTCGTCACCCGCGTACCTGCATATGCATAAGGGGGCGGGGCCGCGCCGCGGGGTGGGGCTGGGGGGCCGGGGGCGCCCGGCTTTAAAGGCGGCGGAGGGCGCTCCTGCCCGCGCCCAGACCCGGCGCGCGCCCCGCCAGGCCCCCGGGCGGTGGGGGTTCCGTCACGCCTCCGACGAACCCGGCGTGCGGGGGCCGGCGCCGCCAAGCGGCCTCCCCTCGCCCGAGCCCCGCTGGGTGTCAGGAGCCGGGGGTGGGGCGCCCCTGAGGTCACCGCCGAGGTCCCCTCCCATCAGTGCGCCACCGCCGCGCTCCTCGCCGTCCCAGGGGAGAAGCCGCCCGCTGCACAAATCAGGGCTCTGCCCCCACGCGGGGCGGGCGCGGCCTGGGACCCTTCCTTGGGGAGCGCCCCCCTCCGCGCAGCCCCCACCGCCTCCACGCCGGCCGCAGGGGGCGCTGCTCCTCTCCGACGCCCCTGCCCTCCCGCCGCACGCTCGCGGGTCGGGCAGCCAGGCACCAGATGCTCCGCGGTGTGGGCTGGGTGCCCGGGTCCGCGCTGGCGCAGGGGTCGCCAGGCCGCAGTCTTGCCCAACGCCCAGGCCGGCCCCTGGGCTGCGGCGGGGACACAGGGGGGTGACCGGGGAATAAAAGGCCGTGGTGCACGCTCCAAAGAACGAGGTGAGAGCCGCCCAAAGAGGCTCCTCCTGCTGTCCTGGTCACCAGGTCCCCGCGTCCCGCCCCTCCGTCATCACCGTGCTGCCCTCTGCCGGGGTCACCTCGAGCCGCCCCCCACCCACCCTCCCGGGGTCAACACCAAGGGCTCCTTGTCCGCAAACATCAGCTCCCCTCCAGCAAGCAGGGGCCCGTCCGGGCTGGCGGTCATCTTGGCGGTTGGGGACCCGAGGTTCAAGGGGGCTTTCCGACCCCTCCCCACAAACACTGGGCTATCTTCTCAACTCTGGCCCCTCCCGCCAGTCTGTCCTGGGCCCCGGGCGGCGGGTGCAGCCCCTGCCTGGAGGCAGTAGTTGGTGTGGGGGTGGGAGGAGGCGGGGAAGGCTTCCTGGGAGAAGAGACTTTCGAGGGGGCCGGGCTGCCGCCGCTCAGCAGCCCCTCCCGGAGCCAGGCAACAGGAGCAGCTGGACGCCCCTGAAGGGATGGCCTGGCTCTTCTCCCAGCACCCAAACCTCCCTACCTGAGCCCCGTCTGCTGGGGCGGGGGGGCAGGACTCCCCCAAATAAGGGGGTGCAAGCTGTGTTGGAGCCTTCCAGTTACTGCCTGCGGGAGAGGGGGTCGTGGGGGGGCCTCCTGTCTTTGCCTTGGCTCAGAAGCAGGCACCCACATGCTCCTGGCCCCAAGACAAGTGAGGAGCCCCCCCCCACACACACACACAGCTCCAGGGGCCCAGGGCTCCATCCCTGCCCATCCCTGCCGGTCCCTGCCTGTGCCCACTGCCCCACGATCCAGGAAAGCTCCGGGCGCCTCTGCATTCAGCCAAGTGGTGAACCCTTGCAGGGCCCCTGTCCAGGCATGAACAGAGCCAGATTCACAAACTCAAAGGGTGAAGCAGGAGGGGCCAGCTGGGCAGGGGGCCCACTAAGACCCAAAGGCGGATGAGTCAGCCAGGTGAGGAGCTGGAAACAGCACATGCAAAGGTCCTGGGGTGAGGGAGGCTGACCCGGGTGAAAACCTGCGAGAAAGACACACAGCAGAGGCACAGGGGGTGAGGGGCAGAGGTGAGGCTGCTGGTGGCAGTAAGAGCCGGGCTGCGCTGGGCCTCTGAGCTAGTCTTCCTGCTAAGACCAAGGGGAAGTCACAGAGAGCACTGAGGTCGGCCAGGCTACCCCGGAGAGACTTAGATTTTCACAGAGATCCCGGGGGTAGGGGTGGCAGCAGGGGTAAGGCCAGGGCAGGGAGGCCCAGGACTGCTGGGGGGGCCTGGCAGTAGAGGGACTGGGCGGGGGCGGGGGGGGGATTCCTAGGTAAGTGACGGGCAGGATCCAGAGAACAATCCCCCCACGCGCCCCTCCCTCATCCCCCCCGAAGCTTCCTGCCCACAGCCAGCGGGCCAGAGCCTCACTGAGCCGCCGGTTCCAGAAGCTCCTGAGCTTCTGCGGGGGCTCTTACCATGCTCGGAGCGGTCTCGGCTGGGAGGTTCCGGTGAGGACACTCACTGCGTCCCCCAGAGGGATGCAGCCTCCCCAGGGCCCCTCTGGCTGCCAGCCCTGCCCCACGGGCACAGAGGCCCCCACCTGCCTTGCAAAGCTGGGGAGCCCATGGCCGGGTCCCATCTGCCTCCCTCCAGGCCTTTTGGGAGCAGGGCCTGGGTCCTCCTGGCTCAAGGCAGCTGGGTGAGCATCAGGGAGGCCCCTGGGGGTGGGCGACCCAGGACGCCCGTGGGGGCAGCTCCTCGCCTGCCACACCCTGCAGGGTACAGAACCCCTTCCTCCCACTGACCCCATTGTCCTTCCGCTTCCTAGGAGCCTCAGCCCAGACTTAACCCAGGAGAGGCTGGGGTCAGGAAGGTGACCACTTCAGGCCAGGGGCGGGCCTTGGCGGCTGCTGGGAGAGGGAGAAGTCCCCCCTAGGGTCGTCCCCTCAGGGGTTTCTGCAGCCCTCGGGCTGGACGGCTGGGGACCCGATGGGGGCCAGGGCTCCTGCCTCCACGTGCGGCCCTGTGTCTTCCAGAAGACCCCATCCCCGTTCTGGGGCCCACTGGGCTGCAACACCCACCGTCCAGCCCGGGGGCCCCCGCTCTGACTCCCCAGTGCCAGGGGCTCTCGGGCATGCTGAGGTGGGTGCTTGGTGGTGTAGAAGCCATGGAGGCCCCCGACCAGGCAGGGGTCCTCAGGACCAGGCTAGGGTGCAGGCTGCCCAGACTCTGGATAGAGCCAGCTTGGCTCAGGAGTGAGCTGCGCTTCCGCCCGTGTTCTCTGGTGCTAAATATAGCGGCCAGGGAGGGGAGTTTCCGGTTACAGCCCCCCCACCCCCCAGTGCCGGGAAATCGATGCCAGCTCCATTAGGCCCGGCGGCAGTGCCTGCTGACCTGCCCCATCAGGCTGAGGAGCAGAATGAGGGGCTGGACTGCACCCAAGCCCAGGGCCCTGTCCCTCAACACCCCCTCCAGGTCCCAGCCTCCAGCTGCTCCCTCAGGCACAGGGAGCCACCAGCCCCCCGTACCTGCCAGGGGCCCCCGAGGCAGTGCGCAGTGGCTGCGGTCCGCGAAGAGGGTGAAGAGGGTGGTGGGGCTCGAGAGGTGGGCACCAGGCAGGCAAGAGGGGGGAGGGAGGGATGCAGGGTGGTTCCAGGCTGGGCAGACTTCCTGCCCTGTGCTCGTTCTCCAGACGCACTGAGGCCGGCGTGCAGGCCCCTCTGCAGCGAGCCCTGCAGCCCCCTGGGTCACACACCACACCTGAGGGCCCCTCCTCAGCAGCATGTCACTCAACTGGCTGTGCTCCCCGGAGGCCCCACCTGGGTCACAGCCAGCATTTGCATACAGGTGATGCGGCCCGAGTGGGCCCCTTGGGCACAGCCTCCTTGGGGCGGCCTCGAGTGCCAGGCCCAGGGGCCGTCTGCACTGTGCCAGTCGGTCCCACCGGGTTGAAGGGAGGGGCCCTCGATGTGTGCTGCCTGCACAGGGTCGCCTGGGGCAGGGCAGGGGGATCAGAGGGGCCTGAGCGAGCAGCCCCCAGCTGACGGTGGGGTCTCCGTGTCAGCCAAAGGCAGGTCCTGCCTCATTCCCCTCCCCCATCCCAGCCTGAGGCCCAGCCCCAGGGGACGCTGGGACCCAGAGCACAAAATCAGGTTCGTGGCAAAGCTCCTGGTCACTCCAGCCCCTACCTGCCTGGGACAGCGACGGCCCCGGGGCGCCTTGCCGTCCCCAAGCTGCCCGCTACCCGTCACCCATGGCATCACCCTCAGTGGACCAGATGGCTTGGAGGGCTCTGGGGAAGGGCCAGGCTGGGTCACCAACTTCAAACAGGGTCAGGCTGGCCCTCATTCCAGGAGCGTCCCCAGCCCTCAGGTGGGCCCCTATCCCCGACCGACGGCCCGAAGCACCTGGACTGTGGTGACAGGCACACCCCCTCCACTTGGCACCCCAATCCACCCACTGCGTAAGGAGCATCTACTGGGGGTGTGGCTGGGTAGGCACCCAGCTCTCCTGTGCCCCCAGGTCTTTGAGGGCCACAGAGGCAGCTCACGCAGTCCCTGACCCTGCGGACAGGCCAGTGGTCCTTCCGGGTTTGCAGGCCACGCCACATACAGGCCAGCAGGCAGAGGGAGGACTCATCACCAACTCCGACCGCCCAGGGGACGCAGGGGCTCCAGGGGGCGCTAGAGCCAGATCCCAAATGGCCCTGGTTTGGGGCGCCTGGAGAGGGTAGGGCGCTGAGGCTCTGCCCCACCTCCTCCCGATGGCCGGCTCGGCCGCCGCCCCACAGCCACCCCACGGCCCACCCCACTGCCCTCCCTGAGCGCTTGGGCTGGCCGAGTCCCCACCTCAGGCTTGACCTTAGCCTTCTGCCGGCCAGCAGATGCCCTCAGCAGTCCCTGCCCCGCCTGCCGCCAGAGGCCTCTCGTGGAGAGCCCACCCTCCCAGCGCCCATCTGGGAAGATCCTCTATCTCCCCCGGCCCGCCCGTGGCCACCGCTCGGAGCCAGCGGACACAGGCTGGAGTTACACAAGCCTTTATTTGATCTGCAGGGCAGGTGGCCAGGACGACCTTGCCTCGACCCCCTGGGGTCTCACCGGGGACCCAGCCCAGGGGCCACACAGCTGAGGAACCATGAGATGCCAAAGATGACGCCGAGGGTCTTGGGGATGTCCGGGTCATCTGCGAAGGCCCGGGCACCATCCAGGGGCAGGTGCACCACCTCGATGAGCTCGCCCTCCTCTGCCAGGCCCCCCCCCAGGCCGCTCCGCTGGGAATCCGTCACCTCTGCGTAGAACATGGTCTGGCTGGAGCCGGTCAGTCCCACACCAGACCTGCGGGTTGAGACGGCATCTCCTGAGCCACCTCACTGGACAGACCCCTGTGCCACTCCCTCCCCTCCTAGCCCCTGCAGGCCAGGAAGGCCAGTCTGGCAGGCAGGGCTGCAGGCTGCGCTGTGCCCGCCCCCAGATCCCTGTGACCGTCGGGTGCGGCAGACCTGGCGGTGTGCTGGCTGTCGCTTCTGCCGCTCCTGCATCATGTGGCCTTGGCTGGTGTAACTAAGGGCCTTAATCAGATGACTTTCAATTCATCAACAGAGATTATCTTGGTGGGCCTGACCTAGTTAGGTGAGCTCATCAGTGAAAGTGTAGAGAGCAGAGATGCTGAAAGTCAGAGACACAAGCCTGTCCCGCAGGCCTTGTAAACAAAATAAGCTGTCATGTGAGGGGCCACGTGGTCCAGACCCACAGTGGCCTTGAGGAGCGGCCCGTGGTCCCCGGCCACCAGCCAGCCAGGAAGTGGGGCCCTCGGTCACACGGCTGCAAGGAGCTGGATCCTGTCCCACCATGTGCACTGGGAGGGGGTCCTGAGCCCCAGATGAGCCCAGCCGACCCCAAGCACTGGGCCCAGTCCCCAGGAAGCAGACGAGTGACCCGCGGCGACTGCGAGGTCATCAATGTGGGCTGACAGAAGCCTCCCGGCGTCTACCACGTTCTGCAGTGCAGAGGGCGGGCCAGCCGCTGCCCCCGCTCACGGGAGCCCCTCAGCCAGGGCCTCCCTTCCCACCCGAGGCTCCAGGCTGGCTGGAAGCAAGGACTGTCCCGGCGACCCATGTGACCTGGCTGTGCGAGCCTCCGACCCCAGCACTTGCAGGACACCAGCTCCAGGCTGGGGACAGCACGTGCTAAGGCAGCTGGGGCGAGGAGGGGGGCGGGCTGCTGGCCACGGGGGGGGGGGGGGGGGTGACTGCCGTCTGCGAGGGCAGGGTGGTGGCGGGGCCGCCCGCATCCCAGGGCTGCAGGGGAAGGTCCCGCACTTGTGTGCAGTGGGGCGGGGGGCCGGGGCCGTCAGCCCAGCTGCACACCTGCCCAGCGCGCGGAGAGCAGCGAGAACTGACGGAGTGTCGGAGTGTCGGAGCCCCGCTCCCCAGGAGGGCGAGCCCCACCCTGCTGGCCTCACCCGCTGACCCCCCACCCCAGCCTCTCATCTGCTAGTCCTCTCCCGACCGCCTGTTTACAGCGGCCTGGCTGCGGCTGGGGCCACAGCCTGAGCCTTCGCGCCAGTCTGTGGGATTTCCAGTTCCCGTTTCCGCAGCTTGTGAAGGAGACAGGCACAGCCTTTGACCCAGAGCAAGAGCCAGGTGCCCTCGGGCCTTGTCACCTGTGGCTGCCGGTGAGTGGCCTGGCTCACGGTCACATGGAGAAGATGCATGAGCTCTCTGCTGTCTGTCCAGCCCCGGGTCCGCAGGGACAGCTGCCCTGACCTCTACTCCAGCCCCTTCAGCCCTGCCCCCCCACAGCCACCCCTTGCCTCCAAAATGCAAGTCTTTACAATGCTGCTTGCTGCCTAGAGTCCTCCTGGGCTCCCCAGCACCCTCAGGGTCAAGTCATAGCCCTGTTTGTGGAAATGCTGCAGCCGGGGCTGAGCCATGACTCCGCCCAGGCTCACCACACCCGGGGTCGCCCACATTCCAGGGTGCCTCCCACCAGCTCAACACCAGCCCCATATCAGGCCCCTCAGATCCTCCAGGCCCCCAGCACCAGGGAGGACACCTGCAGAGAACTGAGGCCTGCCCCTCAGACCCAGGCGCTCAACCACTTGGCATCTGGTTTGACGTGGTGGCTCTGAGTCCTGCCTCATCTCCTTTGTGGGGAGGTTGGCTCCAGCCCCCAGCCCCCTAGGCCACGGAGACACCACGACAAAACCCCAGGGCTGCTAAGGCAGAAGGGCCTGGCTGGACGCCGAGAGGGCCCTGCACTGGGCTGAGAAGCAGAGCCCCCCATCTGGACGGGGTGTCACTGCAGAGACTTTCCTCCTGCTCCCAGACTTCACCAGGGTCAGGGACCCTGACAGCACTCCTGGGGCAGGGGTGGGATGGGCTTCACCCCAGCATCCCGTCCTGGAAGGAGAGCCCCAGCTGCAGGCCTCGGGGCCCCGAGGGGAACACGGGGGGGGGGGGCGCCGGGCTGCAGGCCACACCTCTTCCACTCCCAGCCATGCCGGACCCCTGCCCCCCAGCCTCATTCCTGAGGCGCTGTCTGACAGCAGGTCTGTGACTCACCCCCACCCCCAGCGCCCGGTGCCTAATCCCGCAGGAAGTAGAGGCGTCCGTCAGCAGCAGCTGCTAGGGCCGCAGGGCGGGGTCACCGACTGCTCCAGAACTACCCCCGGGGGCCCCGGGCTCCGGCCTGGGTCACCGTCCCAGGTGCGTGCTGTCCGACCTTCCCCAATCCCATGGGTCTGTCTGCACACCCCTGAGGACAGGGTGCTCGCGCCTCCCAGCCTGCCCCCCCCCCCCCCCCCCCCCCCCCCCCGCCGGGGCGCTGCTGCCCAGGTGCCCGTGCCCCGCCCTGCGGCCTGCGGGTCCCGCCCCACTCACTTGTAGGCGGCCACCCTGCGCAGGTCGGAGGGAGCCAGCTGGTAGCCACACTCCTCCCAGGCCTCCGCGCAGGCCACTTCCTCCAGCGAGAGCCCGGGCTGGTCCACGAGGCCAGCGCACAGCTCGTAGGTCACGCCCGCCGAACCGGGCAGCGTCTCTTCCAGCTCCCGGGGCCCGTCCTGGCCCACAGCTGCCAGGGACCCGGGGAAGTGGCGTTCCACCTCGCCCACATACACAGCTGGCGGGGGGGGGGTATTGACCACGGTCACAGCCATGTTGTCCAGGCCTCCACGTGCCCCAGTCTAGGCCAGACCCCCTCACTGGGCGTTAGTTTCCCCTGGAGCCTCCCCCCCGGATCTACACTCTGATGCGAGGGTCACAGGGGCCTGAAGGTGCCCCCCAGCTCTCCCCTCCCCCAACGGCCCACACGGGGCGGCCTCACCTGGCCGGAACTGCTTCACCAACACCAGGCTCTGCTGGGAAGAGTTGAACATGAGAATGGCCACACTGCGGGGGGTGGACAGAGCTCAGCACAGAAGCCACCCCCTCACGTCACCTCCCTGGGGCGCCTGGCTCCTAGCCCCCGTTCCCAGCACTACTGGTCCCTTACCGGGATGGGGAGACTGAGGCCCAGGCAGGGCCAGGGCTTGCCAGGGTCACACAGTGAGGCTAGGACTCAGGCCCACTGTACTCCTACTGGCCGAATGGAGGCGAGGGGGTGCGAAAGGACATGCTGGCGCTGGGCAGGCCGGGGTGGCAGCAGCTGAGGCCGGGTGACTGATGGGACACGCGGCCCCCACTGGCCAGCTGCCCACCAGCCACGCTCCTCATGCCACACTGCCAGCCAGCCCACAGCCCTGATGCTCAGGGGCGGGCAAGGGCACCCGGACGCCTCTTCCAGGTCCACGGGGGCCTGAGCCGGCAGCCAGAGGACAGAGGCAGGGCTGGGGCTCCAGGCTCCCGGGGCCCCGGGGTCCCGGCGGGCAGCAGGCCAGGCCGGGCTCTCACCTGTCATGTGTCTTCATGAAGTCCCACGACTTCTGAGTGCCATTCTGAAAGAGACGGTGCAGGGGTCGGGGCGGGCCAAGGGGCGGTGCCCAGGCAGCCGGGAAAGCCAGACAGCCTGCTGCACCGGCTCCTGCCCGGGAGACCCACCCGAGGCCCACCATGGAGGCTTCGAGGCCCACCATGGAGGCTGCGGCAGGTGGGGGAGGGGCAGCGAGCAGGGCGGGGTCAGCGACAGCCTGATGCTCCTGGGGCGGGGGCGGGGGGGGGGGGGGGGGGGGGGGGGGGGGGGCGGGGGGGTGTGCGTGAGGCAGAAAACCAGAGCAAATGATGGAAAGACACAGGCTGACCTCAAGCAGCTACAAAGAGATGTACCCTGTCACCAAGTGGAGGAAGGATCATGGGCATTGGGGGGGACGGACAGTCAGGACGGGGAGGGTCCCCAGGGGACAGAGATTGAGTTTTCACTGCTGAAGGTCCCTCAGGCCAGGGGACAGGGGGACAGGAAGGCAGGAGGGGCGGGCGGCCTCCTGAGAGGACACCAGCACCTGAGCCAGGCGGGAGGCTGCCCTGCGGGAAGGCGTGATCGGGCTGGGGGACAGCCCCTCCCCCAGCCCGGTGTCTGTCTTGGGGTCTCACACATCCTGTGGTCCTGCTGTTTTGTCAGCGGCCTCCAGCCTGCTCCCCGGGCCTGGGCACCACGCCCCCACTGGGCTCCGGGGGCTCTAGGCAGCCGTCAGTGAACGGAGGAGGTGGTGTGGGGCCTGCCGGGGGCGCAGCCGGGGGGGTGAGGGGCCCAGAATCCTGCCAGTGGACAACGTGGGCTCCCATCCTGGGGGCCAGAGTGGACAGCAGCCATCCCACTTGGCCCTGCCCGCTCCCCAAGGGGGCTGTGCCAATGGGGCTGGCCGTGGGTCCCTGCCCCGAGGCTGCCCACCTCCAGCGTGCTTAGCCCAGCTGCCCTGGGTCACTGGGTCGGCCCTACGGCCCTGGAGAGCCGCAGGTCCCACCTCTGGGGCTCTGTCCAGGCCCTGAAGACACCAGGGACACAGAAAGTACAGCCAGGACCGCAGGAGAGGGAGGACTTCCTGGGAGAGGTGACCGCACCAGCCCCACAGAAGCGAGGGGAGGGCATTCCAGGCAGAGGCCCCCAGTCCCGTGCCGGGAAAATGGCTTTGAGCCAGGCTGGGGGCAGTAGAGTCCTGGAGGAGTGTCAGGGGCCTTTGTTTCCCAGGCGGCGGGGGGGCGGGTGCCCCGTGGCGCTCAGGTCGGGCTGCCTGGGAGGCCGTTGTGAGGTACCACCCCCAGGAGGCAAGCCCGGGCCTGCCTGCCATCTGGCCACCCCAGGGCCAGCCACCCCCGGGGCCGGCTCCAGAGGAGGCCTGCTGTGTCTCCTGCCTCCCTCGGGATACGGCCGTCGTGTGCGAGTCTCAGGGACCCTCAGCTCCAGATCGAGGTGCCTGTCAGACCCTCAGGTCCAGCCAAGACAGGATGCAAGGGACAGCCCAGCGAGGCCCAGCCAGCCGCTCCGAAGGACCCCGGACCAGCAGGTTGGCTCCTGGGCTGGTTCATCTTCCAGGGACCCTGGGAGGGAGGGGCAGCAGCTCAGAGCCACAGGGGTGTCCTGCCTCCGGTCTGTCTGTTTGGACAGCCTGTCTCCCCTGACCAGGGGTGCTAATGACAAAGGGCTGCAGATGCCTCTCGGTGGGACGCACGGCCAGCCCCATGTCCCACAGCCCCCTGAAGGAACGCTGCCTTGGCTCCCGGGCCTGTGCCGGTCACAGCCTCCGGCCTGCTCCGGTTCTGCTCTGCTCACCCGCGCCCATCACTGGGAACACACGCTTCACAGGAACCCGGAGAGGGGCGCCTGGCGGGCTCATCTGCAGAGCATGCGACCCTTGATCTCGGGGTTGTGAGTTCGAGCCCCATGCTGGGTGCAGGATTACTTAAGAATAAAATCTTAAGAGTCCCCGGGTGGCTCAGTGGGACGCTCAGCAGCGTCCAACTCTTGCTCTCAGCTCAGGTCATGATCTCAGGGGTGTGGGTTCAAGCCCCACATTTGCCTCTGCATTTAAAAAAAGAACTGGGGGAGACGGAACAGCAGCCACAGGCCCCGGAGCAGCCCTGTGCCTGGACCACCCTGTGCCCGCTCACTGCCTCCCAGAGCCTCGGCCTCCTGGGGGCAGCGCAGCCACAATCAGGCACCCCCACCCAAAGTCAGTGGCCAGGGAGGGCAGTGACCTCCACGCCCCCTGTCCGTCACCTGACCCCCTGCGTCTGTCCCAGGCCGTCTCCCAGGGATGGAGCCATAGGGCTACTGGGCAGGGCAGGCGAGGGGCCCAGGCGCCCCTCTCAGGCTGGAGGCTGAGGCTTCACAGGGCTGGTTAGTGCAGGACCACGGAGCAGACAGGCAGCTGCAAGCCCAGGGCGGGCGGCGAGAGCACTGAAGACCCCGCCCAGCTGTCCCGACTGGGCGCCGCGAGGGCAGTCTTCACCTGCAAGGGGGCGGGCGCCCGTGGGCCCGACCCAGAGCTGGTTCTCGGTCGCCCCACAAATACTTCCCAGGGAGTCGCTGGTCCCAGTGAGAGATGGGGAGGCGGGGAGGGGAAGGGTGCCCGAGGGGCAGCCCGCCTGCGTGCTAAGCAGGTGGGGACTCCGAGGAGGTGCCCTAGGAGGTGCCCTCGGAAGGAAGCCCACGCGGAGACGCTCTCTAGTGCTCGGCCAGCTCCCGGTCCTGCCTCCTCCATCCGCATCTGCCTCCTCGGCCCAGACGCAAGACCTCCACCCCCAGGAGGCCTTCGCGGACCCCGGGCGCGCCCGAAACGTCCCACCGCAGAGTGCTGCGGCCCTGCCAAGCCACCTCCCCAGAGGCGTCCCGACCCGGGCGTTCACCCGGGCTGGGAACCCGACACGCAGAGCCGGGGAGCTCGGTGAGGCGCGAGGGCCCGGGCTCCGGGGCCGGGGGCGGGGCTCCGGCGGGGGCGGGGCTCGGGGGGCGGGGCTCCGGGTTGGGGGCGGGGCTCCGGCGGGGCCGGGGCCGGGGCCGGGGCCGGGGGCGGGGGCGGGGGCGGGGCGGGGGCGGGGGCGGGGGGGGTCGCGGAAGTCGCGCGCGCGGCCGGGCTCACCTGGCGGTAGTGCAGCGTGAGCGGCCGCAGGTAGGGCGAAGCTGCGCAATGGCTCACGGCCGCGCCCTCGATGCGCTCCATGGCAGCGCGCGGGGCAGACCGGCCCGGGGCGGACGCGGGCAGAGTCCGCACGGGCCTCGGGCGCGCGGCGCGTGACCCCGCTCTGGGCATGCCCAGTGCGCGCGGGGCGGGGCGGACCGCGGGCGGCCCCTGGGGGGCGGGGGCACCGCGCAGGTGGGGCGCTTCCGCGCGCTCCGGGAGCCGAGCGGGGAGGGCCCGCCAGGTGGACCCCGCTGCGGCGCGGGGGCCAGCGGAGGAGGGCGCGGGCTGGCGGGCGTGGCTGGGGGGGAACCAGCCGGACCCGGGGCTTCACGGCCCAGCTGTGGCGCGATGAGCCGAGCGGCTGTCCCAGCCCACGAGGGTTGACCAAAGTCCAGAGATTAAGTGGGGGCGGGGTCAGGCCCCCGTTGGGGAGAGGCTGGACCCTGAAGAGACCGGTCAGGGGTCGCGACTGACTAGTGGAGCCTGCGAGAAGAGGAGGGCAGGGGTCGGTCACTGCACGGGCGGCGGTATGGGACTGTGTAGACACCTCCAGGGAGCCTGTTGAGCGGGAAGACAGAAGCTCTGGAAGGAGGGCGAGGCAAAGGAACCCGGGAAGGGGCGGAACCAGGGCCGTGGCGGATCCAGGCCCTCCCCTCCGGGTTCTTGGAGCGAGGGGAGCTGGCCCGGGGGCACTGCCCACCTGCCCCACTTGGGAGGAGCAGCCACTCCTTGTCTGGAGCCTGCTGCTACCCCCACCCCCGGGAAGCCCCACCCCGCTGACACCCCTCCTGACTGCGGAAAGGGCCCAACAGCTGGGCTCCTTCCTTGGGCGTGGATCCGGGGACCCCTTCGAAATTCACCCACTGCTTCCCCGGGGCCACGAAGGTCGGTGGGTAAGGGAGCTGAGCCCTGCACCAGCTCTCTGACCTATGGCCACAGGGCTAACGGCCCAGGCGGGACTGGCCATGTGGCCCTGAAGCTGACTCCCATGTCTCTTTATCCATTGCTGGGTAGTGTAACAAGGCACCCCAACATTTTGTGGCTCAAAGCACCCGTCTGTTGCTAGCTCAGTCCGTGATGGCCCCTGCCCCCAGGGCAGCTTTCCCTTGAGGTTTCTCTGCAGCTGTGGTCAGGAGGCAGCGCAGGCTGAAATCTTCGGAAGGCTGGGTGGGCTTGCATGTCCAGGGCCACCTCTTTGCTCTGTGTCTGGCCCCTCGGGGGGCTGTCCGGCCTCTCCAGCGTGTGTCCTTTCCGTGCGGTACGGCGGTCTCAGAGCAGCGGGGTTTTCCGACGACGGCAGCCTCCCCAGCACACAGGCGCGAGGCTGCGCTTCCCATGATCCACCTCAGATGTCTTGCAGCGTCATTTCCACTGTGTCCTGTGTCACGGAGAAAGTCCTGGGCCGCCCAGGTTCTAGGAGAGGGCACCTCATGGAGCTCTGGGGCACCGGGCCCCCAGTAACCCTGTAGGGTTTGCACCTCCCCGCCTTTGCTGGTGTCCTGGGGGGCCGAGAGACACCCCAGGGCCCGTCCCAGAAGCTGGCCCCTCCCCACCCAGCAGCCAGGTGCGCCTCTCCTGCACACACTCAGGCCCAGGGGGCGCCCCCTTCCTGGAACACAGGGCAAATCACAGGGCTGAGCTGGCATAGCCCCTGCCCGGGCAGCGGAGGGGCCACAGGGAGCTATGAAGACGAAGCATCTCATTGTTTCCTTCACACTGGGGCGGGGGGGCGGGGTAACATTTTCATCACTCAAGCGACTTGTAGCCTAGGCGGCAGAATGTATGTCCCTTCAAAGTATCAGCAAGGTGCTGCCCCGTGGGAAATGGTGTGGCAATCCCTGGAAAAGTTAACCGTAGAGCTGCCGTCTCACCCGCTAAGTGCGCTCCCGGCTGTACAGCCTGACGGCTCCGCGGACCCTCTCCGCCAGCCCTACTGACAGCCGCTGGCCTCCCTCAGCGGGCCAGCAGGTAAACCGTGTGCTCTCGCTGCAAGGGAGAATATCGCTGGGTCATGAAAAGGAATGAAACTCAGATACACGTGTGAACTTGCTGTCGTTCTGAGTGAGGAAAGCCACGTGGTATATGATCCCGTGGATGTGAGGCAAAACAGGCAAGTCCAGAGGTGACAGCGGATTAGGATTGACAGGGGCTGCGTGGTGGGGGGGGGGGCGCCCGATCCTGGGGATAAGGTCCCCTCGAGGGGTGCCGCAGAGGTTCTGGAGCCCAGTGCTGATGATGGGGGCACATCGTGAAGGCCGCCGAAGTGGATACGCAGTGAAAGGGTTAATGTCATGTGAATTTCAGTTCAAATTTTTCAAAACAGGAAAACTTTATCTGTAAAACAGCTCAAGATGTCTCCCCCAGCCCTGTCTCCCCACATGCCCCAGGGCCCTTCCCCTTAGTCCAGGATGTGGCCCATGCACCCTAAATGTGGACGTGGGGTCAGGAGGCCCCGGGTGAGGGTGAGTCTCTCTGGTGAGGTATGAGTCCAGCCATATTCCTGCAGAGCCAAGCAGGTGGCCTAGAACCGGGGCCCCCTGGTAAAGAGGGACTAGGCCAAGTACCCCCTCAGTGCAGACTCAGGGGCAGGCTGTGGGGCAGTCTAGCCAAGGAGGCACCCCTCCCAAAGACCTGGAGGAAGAGGAGGGGCCAGGACAGAAGAGGCCCTCAGCCCACGCCAGCAGGGGCCCATCCCAAAGCCGCCTCTGCATTTGGGACTTGGTGCTCCAGAGACTCCTGGGGAAGCCACGTCTTCAGCTGCCCAATCCGGATGACCGACCCTCACAAGTCATAGGTGTCCTGCAGACCTCTCCCCCCACAGCCCTGGGGCTCCTGTGTGAGACACTGGGGTCTGCACGCCCACAGCCCTGGGGCTCACTTCCTTAGGCTTGTGTGAGGTGTCTGGGTCTGCATGCTGGACTTCTCTCTTTCTTGGTTTACACTCTTGTTTTCCTGAAGCAGGTGCTCAAGAGAGCACACATGGCAGATACAGTGTGACACCTCGCATGTCTCAGAATGTTCTTTATTCCATCTCATATCCAATGATGGCTCGGTGGGGTATGGAATTCTAGGTTGGAACCACTTTCTGCAGCTCCAAGGGCAGTGGGCAGGTGGTGCATAGCTTCCTTGTCTGCCTCCCTTTTGTGTGGCTGCTTCTACTTCTGAAGGCATCCTGAGGTCTTTGTGACCCAAAACATGTTGATTTGGAGAATGTCCCATTTGTACTAGAAAAGAGTGTGCCTCTATTTATTGCGCTATCCAAATTGTTCACATCTTTGCTTGTGGCTGTTCGAGCTGTCTGTGTGCAGAGAGAAGTTGGAGCAGGTTGCTTGTCATCTGTGACTTTCTATTTTCTGAAGCTATGTTTTTAGTTGCATATGTATTAGGTTCTCTGATCTGTGAGTCATGTCACACATATTGATATTTTTTTTGTGATGCTATTATGTTAAAATGGTTATAACAGTTGATTTTATGTTTGGTATGTTTTACTACAATAAAAAAAAATATACACAATAAAACAACCAGAAACCATGCGCTTCCAAACAGGAGAACACTACTGATGAGTGATGCCCCATGCCTACCATGCCCACACTCAACAACTGGTCCTCGGCAGATACGTTGTCAGGGGCAAATGCTAGACAACTCCAAGGGAGGACCTGAGGATACTGAGATCCAAGAGACACATGAAGGAGCTACAACATGTGGGCCATGTGCAGGCCCTTATCAGACTGACTGTCCAGGAAACTGGAACCAGACTGGGCACCAGCATGCTTAAGGCATTGTAGTCGTTTTCTGGGAAATAGTCTCTTAGCAATACAAACTGAAATATGAAGCGATACCTAGGATTCGCTTCAGAACAACCAAGTGGGAGGAGGCACGTCAGGGGGTGAGGACAAAAGGTGGGGGCCAGAGGCAGGAAGGATGGAGGAGGGGGGTCTCTGTGACCCAGGGGATGAGAGACTGAACTCCATCCTCATGGCCCCCTGTGCCCCCTGAAGGGCACTTCCACTTGAGTCCTTCATCTGTAACTTAGGCAAATCTCTGTTTTGTTCTTCTGGGAGGGAACTCAGTCGTGCTGTCCCCTCTCCCTGACAGCCGTACCCAGCTCTGCGTGCCTCCCTGTTCCGGGAGAACCCTTGCGGTGACCTTTGCTGGTTTCTGCTCCAGGGACCCCTCCTGAGCCCCGTGTTTCAGTATCATGGGGATTGTGTCTCCCCCGGTTCTCTCTGAGGCTCTGTGCCCCCTCTCCAGGCTGTCAGTCTGTCCTGCCCAGAACAGCCGGGCCACATTACTCCTTCTCTCAGGCCGGGCTCCTCCTTGGCCTGGCCTCACCAGCCGCACCACGGAGCCTGCTGGGCTGGGACTCAAGTGCTTGGGGCTGGGGCGTCCTCCAGCTCACACCGAGGGCGCGCCCCACCCCCCCTGCTTGCCACCACCCTTCCTAAGGCCTCGCCACCCACCCTGGGCCTGCCCTCCTGGCTGCCTGGCTTCCCACACCCTCCAACCTGGGCCCTTGCCCCTCTCCCACCGCTCGTACCAATAATCCAGGGCTCAGTGTTGGGTGGCCCTGGGTCTACGGCACCCGCACCCCGAGACTCCCAGGCTCCTCACCGGGATCCTGCAGGATGCGAGAGGCGGGGCACCAGGGGTCCACAGCCCTTACCAGTGCTCCTCGGGGGCTCGTGGGAGCCCCCAGCGCACCCACCACTTCCCCTGTACGACTGAGCTGAGACGTAAGCCACACCCCGCCCCTGTACCCCATGTGCCCCATGTGAGACTTGAGGTCAGGCCCAAAGACAGCAATAGGCCCGACAGGCCGGCGCTGGCGTCATGTGAGTGCTGCCTGCCCCTCCACTGCCCGGCTGTGTCAAGGTCCCCCCGGGACAGAGCGGCTCATGCAGGCCAGGGCCACACTGAACTGGGGCCGGTATGGCCACAGCCCTGGCCAGGTCTCAAAGGCTGCAGGGGGCACAGGGTATGTTTGGGGCGGCCCTCCTGGGGAGGGGAAAGCAAGGCTGGGTGGAGCCTGGACAGGACCCTGAGGCCCACAGAGGGCGGGCAGCATGTGGGTGGTGTGCAGAACCCTGGCTCTGACCTCACTCAGGCCCCGA